TCTCCCGAACCCGTAGGGTCTACACACTTAAGGTTCGGTGATGCTAGGGTTATTAGGAAGACTAGTATGTGACTACTGAATGTTGTTCGGAGTCCCGGATGGGATCTTGGACGTCACGAGGAGCTCCGGAAGGGTCCGGAGGTAAAGATTTATATATATGGGAAGTTGTCAAACGGACACCGGGAAGTTTCGGGGTCATACCGGTATTGTACCGGGGCCATCGGAAGGGTTCCGGGGGTCCACCGGGAGGGGCCACCCCTCCCGGGGGGCCACATGGGCTGCGTGGGGCAGGGAGCCAGCCCCTGGTGGGCTGGGCGCACCCCCTCCCTTGGGCCCTTGCGCCTAGGGTTGAGGGGGGAACCCTAGAGGGGGCGCCCCCCTTGGCTTGGGGGGCAAGCCACCCTCTCCCCCTCTCCCCTTGGCCGCTGCACCCCCCTTAGATGGGTTCTAGGGGGCCGGCCCCCTTCTCCCTTCCCCCTATAAATAGAGGGGTGAGGGGAGGGCAGCCAGACCACCCTCCAAGGCGCAGCCCTCCCCTCCCCAACACCTCTCCTCCTCCGTTGTGTGCTTGGCGAAGCCCTGTCGGAGTACTGCCTCTCCACCATCACCACGCCGTCGTGCTGCCGGTGGAGCTGTCTTCCTCAACCTCTCCTTTCCCCTTGCTGGATCAAGAAGGAGGAGACGTCTCCCGTCCCGTACGTGTGTTGAACGCGGAGGTGCTGTCCGTTCAGCACTTGGTCATCGGTGATTCGAATCACGTCGAGTACGACTCCATCATCACCTTGCAAGCTTCCGCACGCGATCTACAAGTGGTATGTAGATGCAAACTCTCTCCCTTGACTCGTTGCTTAGATGAACTCATAGATGGATCTTGGTGAAACCGTAGGAAAAATTTTAATTTTCTGCAACGTTCCCCAACACAGGCTTGGGCAGGCGTAGCTTGAATAGATGGAGCGAAGTGGAAGGTACATCAGGTATGCAGCTACGTCGGGCGAGATGGCTGTAAAAGAAGTGGACGAGTTCTCGAAGATTCTTTGGCTTGCCGTGTTCATCGGGCTCTCTTACTAATTTGTTATTGAGCATGCCAACTTACTGATTTGATTTGATAAGTTGGCTTCGGGAATTGGCGGTTGGGATTGAATGAAGTTGTTAATACAAATTCTTTTGGTGTGTGCTAATGATATATCCCTGAATCTGCATCTCTATTGTTTGTGTGTCAGGGCTATATTTGTGGTGGATAAGGCTGATGGGCATTGATGAATTTCATATGGAGCTTATAGCACGGCAAGGGAGAACCTTGATTTCTATCTCGTGTTACGTCTTGTACCGGTAATGTTTCATGCTGTGGTGGACCACCAAATTTTCAGAAATATAAGCATTAAGCATCAGAGCTTTCTCTTTCTCAGCATGACAATTGATGTGGTTATGAATGAATCATAGTTTAGATGAATATATACTAAAGTTGGACTGAATAATTTGGTAGCTTGCCCCTAGCCCCTAACTGCATGCGCACATGTACATGCTAAATTCTGTAGCGTGTTTTACCTTTGAGTAAAAGGGATCAGGTAAAATGTAGATGTAAGAATATAAATTTTCATAACATATACAAATTTCAAATTTATATTCAGTCTCGTGGCCAGTTCAAATACTTCTCTTTTGATGTTATTGGTGATATAATAAATTGGCTTTTTAGTTTTCCACATCATTGCAATTTAAAATAATTTAGTCCACACTGTTTTGGAGATTAGTTTCGTCAGCAAAAAAATTACGAATTGAATTGGATGCACATATACTGGCACACTCACTGATATTTACTAGGTGCACATTCACTTTTCATGTTAAAATTATGTTAGAGACCTGGCCTTTGTAGCAGTAAGTAGAAAGGAGCAGATCAAGGAATTAGAGCAGAAAAGAACAAAAATATTGGGTATAGCCAGCTATAGCAGCAGCAGGTAGACTCAGAGCAAGGAGGATACATGATTCATGTTCAATTTACAATCTGCCCAAAAGCAACCAACATATAGAGTAAGCAAAAGCTACTAAAATAAAAATCAATAAACACCTACATGCCGGCTCCTCATTAGACACAACCAATCTCATTACTTGGTCCGTTCGGGGCCAGTGATGTGCGCTGGACGCCGACTGGAAGGTCGAAGCTTCCTCCTGTTTACCTGTCGGCTTTCGTTCAGCGTAGCTTATAGGCCCTAAGCATCTGCAATATGCAGGCCCATGAAAAATAATCGATAGATTGATTCTCATTTATGAAATATTTCTATTTTTCTATAGGGGCTTATCCAATAATACGTTGAAGGATACGGTCCCGCATCCTCTTAACTTACACAGTTGTATCTGGTTTTCTTCATGTGCATAAACATGTGAGCGTGGTATGGTTATGTGTTATGAGTCAATGAAAAAATGATTATTTTCACAACCTATCTAGCAACCTATGCATGAAGATTCTAATAGGAGTAATACTATAAGATAATTTGCCAATTTTATTGAAACTTCATGAGTTATCTTTTAGTTTGTTACTTGTAGCTATCTAATTCAATCTGCATATTCAATTCGTAAATGCATAGATATTGTTGTCATATACTTACTCTTTCTTTAAGGCCACCAATAATAAGCTATGCTACATTCCTTTTATATTGTTTCATCTATATTTTCATATGTTAATGCAGCTTTACTGGAAATCCAATAAATAAAACCTCGTTTGGTATTGAAGAATAAATAGAAGATGAAGCAACTTGCACCTATTATCTAGTATTCCTTTTCCAATTCTAATAGTACTTACTTTTCTTGCCTTATAAATATGTTGGGCCCGTTCGAAGTGCAGTGGATGCGGTTGTGTTGGCATCGGGCGGCTGCGTGTGGGCCAAGTCCTGGCCAGATTCGACAAGTTTGTAGCTAGGATTTAGCTTGTGGCGCGGGGCGTGGACAGAGGACCTCTAGGTCTCTGGTGGGGAGTGATCTGCCACGACGGCTTGGGCGTGGCAGGAGTGGCTCCGGCTTGCCTGGTCTGTTCCAAATGGGATCCAGCTGGTGGAGGGCTTGGGCGTGGTGGGATGTGCATCCGGCCTGGCGGTGGCGTGTTGGCTTTGTTCAAGTCGTCTCCTTTGGCGGCTAGTGTAGAGCGGGCAACACGGGGTGGTGGCGGAGACCCTTGCAGGTCGAGGCGATGGGCGTGGTGAAGGCGGTGCAATCCTGTAGAGACATCAACATCAAGGATCTGATGGCCTGGTCTTGGATCTAGGGCTCGTGCTCAGGCGGACCAGATCTAGGCTCGAGGCAGGATGGTGGTTCCTACTTCGGACAGGTGTGGTTGGGCTCGGTCAGGGTGATGCCCGCGTGCAGCAAGATTTCTCCTTGTGGGCACTAGGCGAGGTGGAGGTGGTCGTTACGTTGCCACACCATCGAGTGCATCGACGACGATGGTCACAGACATGGCGTCGTGATTGCTTTTCTAGGCCAAGGTCATAGGGCTATGGCCGAGGCTTGCTTCACGGCGGTTAGCAGCAGGCAATGGATCCCCCCTCTCCCAGTCCACCAAGATTGGCTAGGGAGGCAAGTGTGGTTGGTTCCTACCGTGGAGGCGCTGACTCAGACCCAGTTTCTAATGCTAGGCTAGCAGTGGATGGGATAACTCTGCTTCTTCTACTACGGTTCAGTCAGTTGCCATTGAATACTTATATCATGTTGTCTATGCTTTGAAACAGTAAGAAACATAGTTGATTATTCACCTTTCAGGGTATATCTTTTATAATATTTCTTATATTCCACAAGTTCTGGAGCTATTGAGTAAGCATAAATTGGTTGAACAAATTGAGGATGCTCGTGAAATTTTCTTTAAAGTTCATCAAATCCCTTTCACAATGGTTAAAACAGATTGGTTTCAGCTATTTCTCAACAGATTTCGAAGCCATTGGTTAGTTACTGAATAATAATTGACATGTTTTTTGTATACATCTTTCTTTCTTGGTTCTTATTTAGCTGTTTTCAGTAGGATCAAAGTAGATTTGGAGCAGGGTGACGAGGTAACATACTAGTGACACAATGACCAAAGAGGTTTTCATTTAGTTATATTCTGTAGAATCGAAGTGGAAGGGCTTGTGGAGGAGAAGATGTGATGACAATGATGCAACAAAAGCCTTAGGGTATCTCTAACACCGACCTTCAAACCGCCAGCAACCCTCCGGATGTGTTCTTACATCGGACGCGGTCCTGTATCGGTCCGCAGGCCAGTCTAGACACGCTTTTCCCCACAAACGGAGACAAAGTGGGAGGGGGGCCTTTGCGAGCGTACGGACCGCTACCATGCCCTGCTCTTGACTACCCTGACTCACCCAAACCCTCTTCACTTGCCCGTGTGCGTTCCCGACGGACGCCAAATGTCCTGCATTCATGCCACTGTAGAGCGGACGCTTCGCAATGACGCAGGCCCAAAGCGGATGCTGCATTTCACTGGCGCCGACATTGGAATGGCGCGCACGTCATTTCATGTCCATATGCCCCTTTTTCTTACTATTTTTAGTACAGTGGGGTGCCTTATATCTAATATCTTTTATGGTGTTTTACTTTAGACGGTGTACATAGTAAGAGTGAGACAACAAGATGATGACATAGAAGTTACATGTAGAGTCAAGAAGAACAATTAAGAGGATAAATGATGTATGGGAAGTAAGGGGCAATGATTGAGATGCTAAATGATGTATGAAAAGAGAATGTGATGGACGTCAAGTTCAATGAAGCCAAGTTCAATGAAAAGGAGCATGATGTTTGTTAGAATAGAGAGAAAAAATAATTGTTGGCCCGTGACAACACACGGACAGTCAATCAACTAATTAAAAATAGAGATTAGGAATAGAGATGTCATACTACGTATGTACTCCCTGTGTCAAAAATGCTATTATGGCACAGACGGAGTAGAAGAATTTATTCAATAATCCTACGAACCAAACAGAAGACATCTCGCCGTCGCCGAAGAGTGCCCCGCCGTGCGAATGCCATCTCCGCCGCCTTCACTCTCATCGCTATGCCGCTGCCTGTGCTTCCTCCTGACCATCCTCTTCCTGCTCTCCTCCGCGCGCAGGTGCGCTTCTTTCGTTGCCTCCATCCGCGGCTCTTCCTTGTACTGTGCGCCAACACCTCCCCCGTCTGTACCCCCGCAGCAGCCTGGAGGAGGCCAGGGCCCTTAGCGTCGGCGATGAGCTGGTGGGCGAGACCATCCCGCTTCGCTACGGCCGGAGGCTCTACAGGCTCGCCGAGCTACGGCCGCCCGCGTGGTACGAAATCAAGATCTCCTACCCGACCTCCGTACGATCCTGCCCTTCCCATCGACTGAAAAAGAAGAAGATAAGAAACCTTTTTCACCAGTCAATTGCAGCTTCTGGCTGCTGAAGGCTCTGCTTGTGTTTATAGATACCGTCCAGCTTCTCGATTCGCCTCGTGAACGGTCCTAATGCCGTTGAGGATTTGGGGAGTAAGAACAGGAGGTTGCTCAACACGGAGAAGATAATTTTCAAGGCTGAGAGGACCAGGCCGGTTGGTATTCAGCAACTCTTTAACCAGATCTGTTGTTAGGCTGCGATGATGATTTTACAATGTCTGTTTGTGACCGAGAATTTAGGTTTATGTTCTTGTCATGGTGGAGCCTGAGGGTGTGGTTGCAAAGCCAAATGTGCCAGAGCGAGAGCTTGCCCTGTTCAACATTGGTATGCTAGTGTTGTTTCATTACAGTTCATTTTCCCTAGTGATATTCAGAACTGAATAGTCATTGGTATGCTAATAGTAGTGTTTATATATGTTTCCTGTTTCCGCTGATATTCATTCATATCCAATTAGTCTAACTAGGACAGAAATTTTAGTAACTGTACTGACCATGCTGAGCAAACTTACCATTAGATTGGTCTGGTATGTAGTTTGGTCACTTTTGTGCAATCCCATAGAATGAATCTTAGTTTTCAGCAACATCATTTATTTGAAATCTTGGCTGACCCTACTCATTGCTCAATGTTTGTTACCCGGTTTAACTAGGAAGAAAAGGTCAATCCTAACAGGCTTAATAAGTGCTTGAAATTTGGATAACACCTTTCACACAACAAAATAATTTACCGATTTTGTACCTTTTCTTCTTCGAATAGGAGGTTGCACCCCTGGCCTCGGCATCGAGCAATGCACACTGTCTCTTTATTTATTTGTTGGGTTTAATACAAAATTATCTCATCATAAAGACTGAAGCAATACACCCATGCTACAACTCATGCATCAAAAGTCTACTGCTAAGCCGCCATCCATATTGGGGAAATAAACCCTGTGCTTAGCAAAACTCGTCCATATCCACTAACAATGAGCACACACTCCCACAAGAACTTCCGTCTTAAGCGGTCTATCAATACCCAAAAGTCAATTCCCGAACATATTAGAAATACTTCTATGCGGCACAAGGTTCAAAGCCACAAAAATCTCTCACCACACTAATTGAGCAAAGGGGCATGTGAAGAATAGATGTGGCATCAGTTCTTTTTTACAAAAGCAATATGCTTGCCTCCCTTCCAAGTGTGTTTCGCCAAATTATCATTTGTTATAATCACTCCGAGCAGAGACTTCTTGTGAAGGATAGCCTGACATACTAATGTATACTACTAGTTAACCTGTAATACTAATGTGTATGGGTGAAGGAGATGATCTGCAGCCTGAAAATTTAAATGATATAGACATAGGACTGAGATCCAGTGACTTCACTTGGTGAAGTCATGTTGCAACTTTAGGCTCTTCATCTCCATCCAAAACAGATCCAATGGTCCATATCACACAAAGGCAAAAAGTTCACTTGGCCAGTTTTGCAGCCCAACAGCGACAGAACACTGCTGGTAGGATTCAGTTAAAACAGATTACATGCCAACTATCTAATCTTCATTTCTGAATATATAAACTGCATGTCTATAGCTGTTTCAACATACAGGAAGCGAGGTTATCATTTGGCTGTACCTTCCACTTAGCTGAAATAAATAGATCATACATGCACATACATATTTTTACTGACAATACTCATGAAACAGATTATATAGTAGCATTTGACATTGAAAGGCTGCATCATAGAACATCCAAATGCTACAGCAAAAAATGCCAATGTCGAGTAATCATTCAAGTACACAAAAGCAGGCCATTTCACTTGTACACTTAGGCCAAAAGAGACTATGGTTAAACCCCAAAATATTGTAGTTAGTCCTGTCCAAAATACTACCTAACCACTTTGAAGATACTAGATCAGATCATCATAAAGATATGATCGTCAACTCGTGAAGTTGTCAAGAGCTCGGTAAAGCTGCCGATTGCATCATATTCTTGACGCTTCTCACTTTCTCCCATGGGACTCCCTCCTTTGTTTGTGCCATCGTTCTCCACTTGCACTTGAGGTTGCTGGCTATCTTTTTTCTTTTGTTGTTGCTGCTGCCAATGTAAATGAGAAATCATTTTGTTAGTTTAGCAATGAATAACAACTCATTATAGATACATACTGCAGCTTACCTTTGCTCCTTTTTTTGTTGTTGCCGCTGATTTAGTTGGCTTTCGCCCCTTGCGTAACTTCTCAAACCAAGTTAGCTTCCTTCTTAAATTTTTAGATGGAACCTCCTTTTTCTTCAGTCGTGCTGAACTAAGCAACTCATTGGCTTGCTGCACATTTGGATCAACATTTTCTTGGTCATTGGAACATGCATTTGTAGCACTCGTAGCTGATGCATTGAGTTTATCCTCTAGTTGTGGCCAAACACAATGCATTCGCTAGCAGCAAACGACATTCGGGAGAGTTGGCTATTTTATATGCCATATCATGAAATTTATGAGACATGTCTTTGTACCAAAGTTGAGCTTCCAATTTTGGATTTTCTACCACTTTCCTTCCTTGCCTATCATGTATACTTCCATTTCGTGCTTCTCTAGTCCATCTCTTTAGGACATAGTGTGGTGGCAATGTCTTTACATTCATCAAATCAAGAACTTTCAAACTATGTCCACACAATATTCCCGCTCTATGGAACATTTGACAACTACATGAAACTCTTTGGTTCAAAGGATCACCAACCACTATGCGCTCCTCCTCCTCCTCATAAGTCAAATCACCATGCAACCTCTCAATAGTAACAGCGAATTTGTTATTTTCATCCAACACTCTAGTGCAAGCAGCCATGGATCTTTCATATTCACTTTGGAAAGCTTCAAGAATAGTCGGAGTGTACACTTTGCTTGCTTGCACCAACATCCGTGTGCTCATTTTTATTCTTGGCAACTTTTTTCTTGCCTCATATTCCGATTCCAATTCCTTTCTTCTTTTTACTTCAACTGTTCTCTCAAAATGCATCAAGAATCGAACAATATGGAAATCAGATTTCAAATGGTTCTTCAATGCCGCTTGGTTCGCAAATGATTTTTTTGGTCACGGCAAGTATATCCAAGGTTAATCGGTCCACCAACTTGACGAGAAGCAAACTCATGTGCAGCTTGTGGCATAATGCCGGAATCATCAGCGGTTTCAATTTCAAAAGCTTGTCTTTCTGAAATCTTTCTTTGGGATATCATCAAGTGGCGAGTTTGTGGCAATTGCAGCAAGTGGTTGTGTTCAAGCACAACCTCGGTTACTTCATAATTGCCGGCCTCTCGATCCAATTGAAAACACATATGAGCTTGGCAGTCAGTTCTTGTTTCAGCTCTAAAACGCTTTGGTGCACGATCAGTTTACCCTTTTCTTTGACGACCCTCGTTGGAACAAACAAATCTGCATGAACCAACCTTACCATCAAGTCTACTTTTATTTGTGTATGTCTCTCACATCAAAGCCGGTGTGACCCCCATATGCATCCCAAAATGCCCAAGCCTCATCTACACTTCTGAACCTCATACCAACTTGAGGTATTCCCTTACCAATTTCTGTCATCCCACAACACTGAAAATTGTGAGGCACAACAGAATTCTCGATTTTCAGAGCAGAGCACTCATGCTGATTTCAGTTACTCACACCTGAAAAAAGTTCAGTTAGTGACAATATTAGTATGCTAGAGTTCAGTTAGTATGCTGGAGATGTAGTTTTACTTACATATCACTAAAATAAATCAGTTTCAGTTTAGTAAAGTTAATTAAAATATGACTAACAGTAATCAGTTTTACTTAGATATGACTACATGTACTGAATCTGTACATGAGCCTGATCGGTAATCAGTTTGCTTATGTACTGAACCTGATTGGTACTAGTATATGGACCTGTACATGTACTGAACTTGTACGCCCGGCCAATTGGCCATGCCAAACCTCATGAGCTACATACATGTACTGAACTGGCCAGCAGGGACATGTAAAATTACCTCGCGGGCGTGACGCTGATGGACTTCTCCTTCAATGGCGGCAGCGATGGACTTCCCCTTGGCGGAACGATCTTGTAGTGGTGGCGTGTCCCTACTCCTCTCCTCCGGTGGCGGCCGCCCCTGCTCTCCTCCAACGACGGTGCGACCTCAACTGGATGCGGAATGGCAGAGGTCCCGCCCGACGGCAGCGGCGGCGGCGGCACGCGTGGCCCTCGTACTCCTCCGGCGGCAGCCCGCCCCTCCCTCTCCTCCAGCGACGGTGCGGCCGCGTGGCTCCTTTTCCTCTTTGATGCGGCGGCCGGCGCGGCCGCGCGGCTCCTGTTCCTCTCCGATGCGGTGGCCGGCGCGGATCCCTTGCTCTCTCTCCGTGATGCTGCAGTGTGGTGCGGTTCCCCTTCCTCTCCGATGCGGCGGAGCAGCGCCGTCTCCCTGTACGACACGCCGGCGCGGCGCGGGAGAGCGAAGCAGATTCCGGCGAAGTGTTTTCTTCAGTCCGCCCTCGTCCAAAACTGCTAAGTGCTGAGGGCTTTTGCCTTTGTGTGATATGGACCGTTGGGTCTGTTTTGGATGGAAATGAAGAGCCTAAAGTTGCAACGTGGTGAAGTCACTGGATCTCAGTCAAGCCACCAAAAGTAACCAAATGATATAGACATTCATAGGTCACTGGCTTTAATGGATAAAAATTCGAGAGTGGTCTTGAGAAGTTGGCCCTGGTAGAGATCTTGGGTTTATACATTATGAATTCCGACAGAAGCAATTCTCAGTTGGAAATATCTAAAATTGGCTCTTGAACATTGGTTCTATACACAGACCTTGGAATCTTCGATTTAGGTTCACGATTCCTCGTTTTTGTCCTGGTGATTAATTTTTTTATACAGCTAAGCTTGGTTACTCCAAGGACATGTGAATTAGCATAAATGAGTAGGTGCAGTGATACTGTACACATAAGCAACAATAACTATAAGTAGTAAGTTTCTGTATTCACAAAGCAGAAATGTGCAGCTTATTTACTCTGAGACCATCTGATGACATCGATACGTAAGCCCAAACCTGTCTGGTAAACTGTGGCTTGCGCATATTCAGTGGTTTCTATTATAAATCATTCACCGTCCTCATCTCACAAAAGGAATTTAGAAAATTGCATAGCATGAGCTTCACTGAAAATAGTTCCAGTCATTCTCTTTGAATTTGTCAAATTATTTAGATCTGGTTATGCATTTCTTTGCTCTTGGCCATCATTGCCTGGCCCTTGTATAGATTAGATTGATAGTTTGATGCAAGCACCTAAACAGCATGTCTAATACAATGTGTGTGATTTCCATTGTTGTGCAGTTTGCGACGAACTTTTGCTCGGGATCCCACATTTTGCCTGGTGGGTGGGAACTGCAGCATTAATTTGCATTGTGTTGGCATCAATAGCACCATATTTCCTCCCGCTGCACAAGCTACTTAACTGTGAAGCTGCAGAATTGAGCAGCGTTGATGCAGCTAAGCTTTCCTGATAAGGCCGAAATGTGAACTATGAATGTTCAGTTTTGTATAGCAGGCTAGTAATATACATCGGTACATGTACAGATGTGGAGTTTTTAAGCTTGAGCTCAAATGCTCCCGCGTGAACAGTAAATTTGAAAAAATAGAAAAAAATTCTGAATATTTTTTGTGGCAAACTTTAAAGAATGTTTGGAGTGCATGCGAAAATTCATCACAAAATCACATCGGTGCAAGGCGTGGTAGAAAACAAAATCGATACTATGAAAATGTTACTTTCAAACGCATTTTGAGCGCTGATTTTTTTTTTACCACGACTTGCTCCAATGTGATTTCATGATGAGAATTTGCATGCACTTCGAACATTTAAAGTTTGCCATAAAAGAAAATCAGATTTTTTTTGCTTTTATTTTATTTTATATTTTTCATGGCAGGAGCATTTGAGCTCGAGATTAGAAGGATACTTTGGCCAACCTTCTTCTTTCTATATTTTTTGCATCCTATTAGTCGCAGCTGTACACAAATCTGATGGCGACTGCACCCTAGAGTTCAGCACTAGATAATTTTTGGCTAGTTTAGATATCTATCACTCCATGTGGCAAACCTCCAAATTTCCCATGAATTTTAGATGTCATTTTCCATCTTCATTTTATTATCGTGACTCATAATCAAGATATCATCTTGATTGAAGATCTTTTATGCCCTAATGATCTGGAAACATGATTTGACGTTGACGCTACAAGTTTTGAGTACTCTCATCTTGTTACTGTCTTTTCAGCCATACCTTCCTGCACTTCACAGCCTCTTACTCTACCATGCCATTAAACACATTTTCAGGGTTAAACTTTGCCATACAAGTGTGACTACTGTCTATGGCTATTGTTTGTGTCATTGCCACAATTATGGCATGCCACACTTTCTTAGGTCGCTTCACATGCCGTAGACTCAAATCTTGCCACGGTTACAGCCACCAATTTCACCGAGCTATTTGTGGCTTTTGACAACTTAGTAGACAAGGTGTGGCAAGGTTCTGCTAATTTTGTTTACCCCAAAACAGTAAAGAGTTTGCTACTGCAATTTTGTATCAAGTAAAAAAAAAGTTTCATGCACATCTGGAAAAAGCTAAGAAGCTACAAGGAAATACTTGTGGTAAAAAGGGAGCATTATGGAGTGCTGAAGCCATTCGGAAAGAGGTAATTTGCGCAGAGGACCATGGTAATATCTACTTCTACCCTGTGCTTCCAACACCATCCAAAGAAGGTTTTTCATTCTGAAAAATGAGACCGTTTCTAGTTTTCCAGATCCTCCAGATTGCAAGAATGATGATTTCCATTGGAAAAGGGGGCTTGAGGAAGTTGAGATTGTAAATTTCATCAATATGAGAGATGCCTCTGTTTATTAAGGGTCAGAAAATATTCCACATTGTTCTGCAGAAGGGCAGTCCGAGAGATGGAGAATGGGGTTGTCCCAAAGGAGATGCAGAAGGTGCATGTTTTTTTCCCTTTGCAGAGGACTACTCGTATTGGTTTTATCATGTAGAACTAGCCAAAACTAAACTTTCTGCTTCAGTTTTTTAGCCGATTTGTGCTTAGCAAAGTACTATAAAGAAACAAAGTATCAAAAACTAGAGTAACTAGCAAATATGCCCGTGTGTTGCAACGGGAGAAAATTATTAGATGATGCAGAGAAAAAGTCTGGATCAAATGCCAGAATGAGATAAGGACTTTTAAAATGTCATTTCACAAACTATGTTTAAGTCATGTCATGACGAGATACGAGACTTTTAAAAAGTCACTTCAGAAACTAAAAATGCGATGGTCTTATCACGACTTGATTTCCTAACGCGACATAACGAAATATTTTTTTGGCTGAGCAAACTGCATTGATGGACCCTGTCTGAACTAGACTGATGAATGATGTGTCTCGCCTTGACCTAGTGTAGCCATGTTTATTATAATCAATATTGTGGTACCAGAATAAACGTAGCTATGTATGCAGGCAAAATAGAAATTTAGTCATTTTATATAGCTTACAAAAATTAACCCATAGGAAGTTGTGTCAATTTTTTGTGGGCTCAAAGTTGTACAAGACACGGAAACCTTTTTTACCCGATTCGAGGGACTAAATAAAATCATAAGACGACCTCTTCAGATCCCCTAATGAAACCTCTACGTAAGCGACGGTCCGTTTTGTTCATTATTTATGGATCTGTTTTAATTTTTGTGAACATATTCTAAAATTTCCTGGACATTTTTTTAATATTCCCAAAAGTGTTTTGAATACTGTATCTTTTTTAAAAATCATGAACATTCTCTATTTCATGAACATTTATTTGAAATTGTGAAAAAATTTATAATGTGCGAACATTTTTTTGAAATAATGATCATTTTATAATTTTCCAAATGTTTTTTGAATTCGCAAACAGTTTATGATTTCTCAATATTTTTTAAAACTCACTTTGAAATTTGGTTCGAGATCCCAAATTAATTTAAAGTAGGAAGAACTAAAACAGAAATGAGAAAGTAAAAAGCAAATAAATAAATAAATAGAAACAGGGGGTGCTACGGCCTGCAAATGGGCCAACCCATAACCGCGTGTAGGAGATGAAGAGAAAAAAGGAGATAAAAAAGGGGGTAAAAACCAGGTATGGAACCTTTGGTCGCCCTCGAGGGCGGAGGTCCTAGGCATTGCGCTCCTCAGGTGCTCATGTTATGTAAGTGTATTAGTATATGAGAACAATGAATCCGGGGTGCGACTTTGAAATAAAAACGAATCGTTTTTCTTCACTTATAGATGGCATAGTGAGTAATTTATGACTACTTTGAGGGCAACTTTTGTGACGTACCGTCAAAAGCAATAGTCCATTTATTATTATAAGTAGAGATTTAACCTGTAGGTACAAAATACCATGATTTTAATATAACAACGTTTTTTCAGAGTACTCACTATACAGAGGGCCTGTTTGGCTACACCACAAAACACAATGAAGTCTCCTTCACCGGAGGCACATGCAGATAGCAATGAGTTCGGCAACAAGAACGAACAGCAGTAGACGAAAAATAGTGGATGGAAGTACCACCGTGGTGGAGTACTAGAATATATGGATTGGTTAGACTAATGGTGATTAGCAGCAGCAACCACGGCGGAGTAATTAGCTCATGGATAATGAGAACTAGTAGGAGTAGGAGGAAATAAGGATCCGTCCTTTGAAGATAGCAAGAACCGAGTTGTTGAGCACAACGGGAAAGAAGATAATGACGCCGGTCCCGTCTCTTCGGTTGCTCAGTTTTTTTAAAAAGAGGTCCGAGGTTCTTTTTTTTGTGCAGAGAAAAAACTATAGTTTGGTTTGTAGTAATTAAACCACAGTTTTTAGAGGCAATAAAACAGCTCATTGTAAATAAAATTATGATAATCTCAAAAACCATAGTATTATCGAAAAACTTAAAAAATACTCTGCTATCAAACAGGGCCTTAGTTGACAGCAGTTTTGCTATAACCAAAACTAAACAACCTCTATCTCCCAAAAGAGGGCATATAACTTTCTCTCACTTTTCTCCTAAACCAAGGCCTATTGTAACCGGAGATAAGATGAGTGAGTAGACATTAGCATGATTGGTGATTTTTGGTTTGTCTTGGTAGGGTGAAGCACCATGCACACCCCTTATTTAGGATCGGAGAAAATAATTACTCATATAAAGGATGTTGGAGTACCTGCCTACTGAGAGTGCCCTCGGTAGGATGGCGAACGTAGCCAAAAGTGCCAGAAAAGAGTTCACACAAAGGGGCTCCTCAGGTTCGGGCCCTCTAGGAATAACAAGTGGTAAGAGTCTAAGCTTGGGGATGCTTGAGACACCCCAAGGTAGTATTCTAGGACTCTCAAGCGACTAAGCTTGATGCCCTGAAACACATCCCCTCTTTCTTCAACCAACTATCGGTAATTTTACTTAGAGCTATATTTTTATTCGTCACATATCATGAGTTTTGCTTGGAGCATCGTGTATTATGTGAGTCTTTGCTTTGTTTGCTTTTTAGTTTATCACAATCATCTCTATTGAACACACATATTTGAGAGAGCCACACGCTTATCATGATTTGTTAGAGAGTATGTGCTTCACTTAAATCTTTTGAGTTAGGCAGTTGCTCTAGTGCTTCACTTATATCTTTTTTAGCACGGCGGTGGTTATATTTTAAAGAAATACATACACTCTCATGCTTCACTTATATCATTTTGAGAGTTGATAAGATTATATTTTGAAGAATATACACGGGAATTTCATCTAGTCACTTTCATCATGTTGGTTTGATTTGTGTTCACTACTTTAATAATTTGATATGTGGGTGGACCGGTGCTTAGGTGTTGTTCTTACTTGAACAAACCTACTACTTATGATTAACCCCCTCGCAAGTATCTGCAACTACGAGAAAAGTATTAAGAATAAATTCTAACCATAGCATTAAACTTTTGGATCCAATCGATCCCTTACGGAATAGCGCATAAATTAGGGTTTAAGCTTCTGTCACTCTCGCAACCCATCATTTAATAACTACTCCACAATGCATTCCCTTAGGCCCAAATATGGTGAAGTGTCATATAGTCGACGTTCACATGACACCACTAAGGGAATCACAACATACATATTATCAAAATATCAAACACATATTAAATTCACACGATTACTTGCAACATGATTTCTCCCGTGACCTCAAGAATAAAAGTAACCACTCACAAGTGATAAACATGTTCATGATCAGAGGGGTATTAAATAGCATAATGGATCTGAATATATAATCTTCCACCAAATAAATCATATAGTAATCAACTACAAGATGTAATCAACACTACTAGTCACCCACAAGTACCAATCTGAGGTTCCGGTACAAAGATTGAACACAAGATATGAACTAGGGTTTGAGAGGAGATGGTGTTGTTGAAGATGTTGATGGAGATTGCCCTTCCCAAGATGGGAGAGTTGTTGGTGATGATGATGATGATGATGATTTCCCCCTCCAGGAGGGAAGTTCCCTCGGAGGGCAAAAGTGCTCCTGCCCAAGTTCTGCCTCGAGACGGCGGCGCTTCGTCCCGAAAGTCCCTCTCCTTATTCTTTCTAGGTCAAAATGACTTATATACCAGAAGATGGGCACTAGAGGTGGGCTGGGCTGAGCGCAACTCACCAGGGCGCGCTTGGGGGCCTGGCGCGCCCTGGTGTCTTGTGCTCACCAGGTGGCCCCCCTCCAGTAGTTATTTGCTCCAGTATTTCTTATATATTCTACAAAAATTTCCTCGTGAATTTTAGCTCATTTGGAGTTGTGCAGAATAGGTAGCTTGACGTAGCTTTTTCAGGTCCAAATTTCCAGCTGCTGGAATTCTCCCTCTTTGTGTGAACTTTGCATATTATGAGAGAAAAGGCATTAGAATTACTCCAAAAAGCATTATCATGCATAAAAACATTATAAATAACAGCAGGTAAACATGATGCAAAATGGACGTATCAGGCTACTGCCCCGAGGAGTGGTTCTTCCACATGGCAAAGTATAAATCCGCTCAAAGATTGAATATCTTTCCCACGTCTTATTCATCCTAACAACTACCGATTTGATTTCTCTACTTAATTATTCTAATCTAGAAGTAGGTAAAGGAAGGTGTATCACAAGCCTAATTTTCTTTTTCTTCACTTCCAAAACGACTTCTAGCATCATCAGAGGGATCAGAACCACATCCGTATGCTGACAATTTTTCTGGATAGGCCTTCATGTCAAGCAAAGGAAATAATTTCCATATGTGGTGGTGAAGCACCTGTTTATGCACCTGGGTCATTGTTCACAAACTAAGATGACTTAGTCGCCTTTCTTTGGGTATGTTTGGGCATGCTCTGATGGAAGAAGAATTCATCTGAAGAATAGGGTATGAGGCAAATATTGAGGGGCAGTCCGGTAATTGGATTCCAAGATAGGGATCAAGAAGACCGATGGGAGCCAGGGAAAACCTGAATGTCAACACCATCAGCGATTTGTGAGGACTAGGATATGCCAAAACCTCAATGGGTCTTCTACAATAGTGATGTCTTAGATATAAAGCAAGTGGTGTTTGGCGGCTCAAACAGAGAGGATTATGTGGTGTGAAATTACACAAAGAGTGGAACTTATACACTTGGATTGGCCTATCATTTGAAAATGGAGCTGAACAGTCACAAGGCGGGAATACCAGAGATCTTATCTTATGTGGCTTCACATCGAGGATGGCAAGAGTTGTGGGCCCTTGATGTTCCAAACAAAGAAATGATATGTGTTTGGCGCATAGTGCAAAATGACTTGGCTCTGGAAGCGGAATTGCACTGTCGTCACATCAACCACAAAGTGTTTTGCGTTGTTTGTGGACGAGAGGAAGGGGCTCACGGGCTAGTTGACTGGGTATCCTACATCAATCGAGAGATGACGCCTTCCAATGGTGTGTTGGCTGAAGCCAAATGCAGACGGGCTGCTATAAAGGTAGATGGCTATGGTGGCGGCGGAGCGGCCGTGCGTGACCATTATGGCAAGTTCTTGGCTAGAACATGTCATCCCCCACCCTCACCCCATCTGCTACGAAAACCGAGCTAAACGAGTTGCTTGCTTGCCGGCGAGTAGTACAACTCGCCATGGACGTGGTAGCTCATCGACTCTTGCTTGAGACACACAACCAAGACGTGGGCACAAACCTGATGCCACAGGAGCTGGACCGGTCGAGGTATGGCCCTATCATAGAAGAGATCAAGGAACTGCTAACCTATCATGAGTGAGCATAAAATCAAATGGGTTAAACGTTGTGCCAACAGAGCAACACACATATTAGTCAGAGAAGGTTGTCTTCATAAACTTTGTACCGGCATTGTTGCACATTCCTTCGGGTTGTATTGGTGATGTGATTTTCTCGAGTGTACCGCGAGAACTCTTGAACAACCACCACCACTACCATCATCAAAAAGTTTTTTGAAGCTAAAAAAGAATACCACAACCATTAGAAATTGCTTATTTTGAAAAATGCTTTAAGATAAAAGTGACTAGCATCACTTATACATGCTTTTTTTAGGGATCACTTATACTCCCTCCGTTCTGAATTACTCGTCACAAAAATGGATGTATCTAGATGTATTTTAGTTCTAGATACATCCATTTCTACGACGAGTAATTTAGAACGGAGGGAGTACATGCTTAAAACACGAGGATGTACGAGGACGTATATCGGGCCTATCCATGTAACACTTAAAATTTTCCGTAAGAAAAAAAAGGCAACACTTAAATGCTTAAATACACGCCAAAATTATACACCTTGCCGTTTAAGATTTTCCTTGGAATGCGTGAATAAGGAAAGAAGCAAATACACACCAAAATCAGAATCAGATCCTCAAGTTTTTAATTGACACCAAACATAGAACTACTACCCCGGTCGGGTTGTAGACCAGAGATTCGGTTCCTCGGACCAGACCTACGCAGCGCACTACCAGGAGCAATTCTTCCATTTTAGTAACACAAATCTTTTGTTCCCCCACCTTTAACGCACGCAGCCCATCGAATCGTGACACATAACGCCACCATATCCGGCCCGCGGAGATTTGTTTCTTTAATCGACGGACCGATCGCCGGGCGCGCTAGTGGCATGTGCCTGG